ATTAACGGCACCCTAACTGCTGCACCGAGCAGGGTGGATAGGGGTTTGGATGCTATTGCTCAGGCCTTCCCGCCTTTGGATCTCCCACTTGTGTTTTTCACTCTTATCAACCCGTTCCAACTACACTATTATCCCATGTTGCCAACACTCGAATCATTGATAATCTATCTTGTTTCAATAATCGCTTGGCCTCCCGTTTCAATTCACACACAACCGCAGCGCGTCGCTTCAGTCCAGTCAACAACCATCCAGGCGGGCAACGTCAGTTCATTCGTCTCCATTTGGAGTCCTCGATCCTCGCTAAGACTGGTATGCTTCAACGTGCGCATTTTGTCGTAGATTGGCCGCCAGATATGATTCGCCTGGACATTTTACCGATCGATATTTGCGGTTTATCGAAAACCCGCCAGCAAGAATCGAGCTCCGTATTTACCCTGCGATCCTTCATATGCGACACTGGCAGCACATTCACATTGCGCCTTAGTGGCGATGACGCACCTTCAAGTGCGGGTCAAGCTAGCACCCGCATTGTTTTGAGTCTCCGGGTTGAAGCTACGTTACTCGGTTGGATCCCAGTCAACATTCGGATGTGCGCCATTACATTGGCTGGCTCGTTTCAGGCTTCGAAGACGCACGGGGACAAACGGTGTCTGTTTGCCATTGCGGCCTATGCCCTCACAAACTGCAGCACTGAATCGGTGAAAGATTAATCTTATCTTCTTCTTTGCAGAAAAGTACGGATACGGCGGCGCTTGCTAGTGATCCAAACGAGCAAGTCGAAAAATTCGCCTTTGATGGACTTCATCTGGGCGGCCAATATGGTGTAAACTCCCGTAATGATAACGGCGAGTAGCTGCTACACCTGTGTGCAGATACTCGTCCCTTCCTCGCAAGCATTAACTTTTGACACAGTACCCGCAGAAGAGTGACCTGGCGCTCACCAACCTCAAACCAGCTAGGGACGAAAGTCGACCACATCGAGATCAGTTACCGCAGGAGAGGCTGTGTCCAAAACTGTCGCTCGATTTGGAGCACGAGCGTGGACTCCGATCACGCTCTTGTGCGTGCTAAAATCCGGGTGCGTTTCGGCGGACGTCTGCAACCCCACTGTGACCGCATAAACACTAGCCAACTGTCGAATCCAGATGTTCTGAATGCATAGCAAAGTACGCTGGCATCCGGGATGAGTAAGCACTCAATGAACGCCTTTGAAGATCACTGGTTGTATATACGTCAAACGTTACCATCAGCAGCTATATCTTCATGTGGGAAATCAAAATGCCAACCTAAACATTGGATCTCTCCACAGTCTCTGGAACTCATG